AGGCTGATGGGGCCCACAAGGGGCGGGCTTACTCTGCTGGCTGCTGCTAAATACCCCTGGATTCCCCAGTGAGATGGTTAAACCTCATTCTGTCTTTCAAAGATGCTGGGAAAGAGCCATTGTCTGCACTAGGGACACAGACAAAAAGCCAGTTTGATGCCAGCATGTCACAAAGCCCCTCTCCCCCACTTGCCTGCCTTCCCTTTTATTTCTTAATTATTTATTTATTTCAAAGGCCGAGAGAGAGAGAGAGGTCCCATCTGCTGAGCCTGGATTCGAGCCCATGTGTTCTGGCACGAGATGCAGGCGCCCCCACTGGTACCATAACCCTGGCACGGAGCCACCAGCTCCTCCCTGCTACAAAAAAAGGCAAGCTCCTCTCCAGCTCCTAGGAGGCGTGGGCAGTTGGTAGCTGCTCGCGAAGATTGAACCACTGTGTTTTGCTTTCCTTTTATTTAGTTTTGGCTTTCATTCTATTTAGTCTTGGAGTGAGCTGGTCGTTTTGTTCAGGAAGCATTTGTACAACATCCTCAATGTGGCATGGAGCATTCTAAATGCTTTGCAAATATGAGCCCACAAGCTGGGGGTGGGGGTGGGGGGTGACGCTGGTGTTGAGGCATCGCCTCCCGATCCAGCTCCCTGCCTATGCGCCTGGGAAGGCAGCAGGTGTTGGCCCAAGTGCTTGGGCCCCCTGCCACCCATGTGGGAGACCCAGGTAGAGTGCCAGGCCCCTGGCTTCAGTCTGGCCCAGCCCTGGCCGTTGTGGCCATCTGGGGAGAAAACCAATGTATGGAAGACCTCTCTCTCTCTTTCTCTCTCTCTCTCTCTCAACTGCCTTTCAAATAATCTTTTTTTTTAAAGTTTGCATTATTTCAAAAAAAATTTTTGCACCAGAATAAACATTCTTTATTCGGTTTTCCATCAAGTAACCCTTGGATTGACTAAATGGATTTTCGCAAGAACCCTGAGGTGGGGATGGCTGTCATTGTCCCCATTTCTCAGATGAAAACCCTGAGGCCCACAAAGGTTAAGTCACTCAGGCTGTAAATGGCAGTGCTGGGTTTTGCACTGAGCCAGCCTAGCTCCCGGGGCTGTGCTGGAACCAGGGTGGGACATGTGGACCTTCTGTTATCTTGGCAGGGAGAGAATCTTTTCCTTTGACACGAGTTTACTGGAGTGAGAAAATCAAAGGAAACGTAATCTAACCAGCAAGTAAATAATAGCATTCATGAACACCTTGAAGGTCCTCAGTGGGTGGCAGAAGTTCTGGAACATTCCAACACAGCCACAGGGTTACAGCAGGTGAACAATGAACGTAGAGTTTAGAGGAGGGGAGGAGGAAAGGCCCACGAGGAGGCCCCAGCTCATGCAAAGACAGAGGCATGGCCGAGGCCCCTGGCGCTGGGGAGATGTGAGTCATACAAGGCCCCCGGACCAGTAATAGCAGGAACTCGGCCCCCTGCTGCAACTCTTCACACCTCCCAGGGCACGGTCACACCTGCTTTCTCACGGGCTCGGCCCAGCTGGCAGGGGCACAGAGCATGACCGTCCCCGCTTTGGACGTGAGCGCTGAGGCCAGGGCGCTGGGGAAGAGCTACTGTGTGCTCCAGGTCCGTGAGGCTTCCAGTCCTGCGCCCGCATCTCTCCTGCACTCTCTCAGCTTATCTCAGGTGGCAAGCAACAGAAATCGACTTCAACATGGCTGACCGTGTGCTCAGTGCGTGAGAAGTACGAAAGGGGGGCATCAGTAGCAGCTAGATCCAGGCGCTCCAGTGCTGTCTTAGGACCAATCTTTCCAGACAGGCTCTCTCCAAGTGGTGACAAAGATGGCTACCAGCTTCCAGCAGGTACTCCAAAAACTACTTCGTTGTTAGAGTCCTAGGAAAAATATCCCAGGACTGCTCTCATCAGCCTGTCCTGGCCAGCCACATGGAGTGTTGTGATTAGTCAGTGGCCCACCACATGGAGTGTTGTGATTGGTCAATGGCTAGCAAATGGAGTGTTGTGATTGGTCAATGGCCAGAACATGGAATGTTGTGATTGGTCAGTGATCAGCCACATGGAGTGTTAGTGATTGGTCAGTGGCCAGCCATGTAGAGTGTTGTGATTGGTCAATGGCCCACTTGACCCCACATCGAGTGCTGTGATTGGCCAGGACTCCACTGTGTAGAGCAGAGGGTAGAGTCAACTCTACCCAAATTACCAGAGGGAGCTCTGACTTGAGCACTTTATAAGAAGCGGGCGGAGAGGGCAGGGCACCAGAAGCAGCAGGTGCCAGCTGTTCATCACCAGAGCCGACCGTCTTTAGGCAGAGCTGAGGAATTTGGAGAGGAGTCTTCCATCTGGGGAAAGGAGTTTGCATTCTCTCCGCTGTTAAATGGAGCCGTTGTGTGTCTGAGGGGTATGTGTGCCGGTGATGCGGGCGGCAGCTTAATGTCGGCCCCCGTTAGCGGCGTTGTCCATTTTAAAGTATGTTAGACACAAAAGCACAAGGACGGCTGTTATTACTTAAGGTGACACTGAAGTTAATTTTTTGAGTGAGTTCATTTATAAAAAATACATTAAATTGGGGCTGGCTTTGTGGCGCAGCAGGTTAAGCCACTGTCTGCAACACAGGCATACTGTATGGGCACCAGTTTGAGTCTCAGCTGCTCCAGTTCCACTCCAACTCCCTGCCAATGCACCTGGGAAAGCAGCAGAAGATGGCCCAAGCGCTTGGGTCCCACCCACTGGGAGGACCCATTAGAAGCTCCAGGCTCCTGGCTTCAGCCTGGCCCAATCCCAGTTGCTGCAGCCATTCGGGGAGTGAATTAGCGGATGGAAGATCTCTCTTTCTCTTTCTGTAACTCTGCCTTTCCAAATAAATATTTTAAAAAATATATATATATAATGGCCGGCGCCGCAGCTCACTAGGCTAATCCTCCGCCTTGCGGCGCCAGCACACTGGGTTCTAGTCCCGGTCGAGGTGCCGGATTCTGTCCCGGTTGCCCCTCTTCCAGGCCAGCTCTCTGCTGTGGCCAGGGAGTGCAGTGGAGGATTGGGCCCTGCACCCCATGGGAGACCAGGAGAAGCACCTGGCTCTTGCCTTCGGATCAGCGCAGTGCGCCGGCCGCAGCGCACCAGCTGCGACGACCATTGGAGGGTGAACCAACGGCAAAGGAAGACCTTTCTCTCTGTCTCTCTCTCTCACTGTCCACTCTGCCTGTTAAAAATAAATATATGTATATATATATATATATATATATATATAAAATCTGGCTGGCGCCATGGCTCACTAGGCTAATCCTCTGCCTGCGGCGCCGGCACACCAGGTTCTAGTCCTGGTTGGGGCACCAGATTCTGTCCAGTTTGCTCCTCTTCCAGTCCAGCTCTCTGCTGTGGCCTGGGAGTGCAGTGGAGGATGGCCCAAGTGCTTGGGCCCTGCACCCGCATGGGAGACTAGGAGGAAGCACCTGGCTCCTGGCTTTGGATTGGCGCGGTGCACCGGCCGTAGCGGCCATTTGGAAGGTGAACCAACAGAAGGAGGACCTTTCTCTCTGTTTCTCTCTCACTGTCTAACTCTGCCTGTCAAAAAAAAAATACATATAATCAATAATAGTACCCATTATGCACAAATAAAGATGGCAGACATTTTGAAAGCAAAGAATGCTAGAGCCTTTGGGTCATTCTAGATCCTTCTAGAATGTTCCAGATGCTCTATGTTCTGTGTCCATCATGGTGGTTGCTCAGGGCTTGCTCCAAATCTCCTCCTGAAATTCTCAACAAGAACCCTGGAGGCAGGCTTTCCTGCCTGCACTTAGAAGGCTCAGAGAGGGCAAGGGCCTGGCCCCCAGCCCCTCAGCTGGTGGACTGGACTTCCGGGGCCCCATAGCCTGTGCCCTTTCCCGCTGCGTCTTGGGTGATCTCGTTAGGGAGGTCACGCTGAGCTCTTGGGTAGGGCCAGAGGAGGCACCACAGGTGCGTGTGGGGAGTCTTCCCACCTGCAGTCAGCCACGACATCGAGGAAAAACCACGGTCCCAGAATCTGTCATCCCTCCGGGCTGTGGCTGCACCTGCTACTCGGGGTGACGTCTGAGCCTGGGCAGGTGCCCCACTGGCCTCTGGCTGGCCCCTTCCTACACAGACCCAGAGATGGAGCGGGAGCGGGAGGACAGGCACAGTGCCCAGAGGAGCCTGGCCTTGCAGACCCAGGGTGCGCGCACACTGCTCAAAGAAGCCCGCTCTGTTCTCCCCAGGGGCTCCCTGCCCCCCGGGGAATTAAGCGTATGGTCCCCGGTGGGCTAACCTGGGCTCCGTGACCGACTCGGAAGCCTTACTGTTGGGCTAAGTGTAGGTGTTCCGCAGGGGGCTAACCTGGGTGTGTTATTCAGTAAGAAGCCAGCTCACTGGGAGTACGGGAGTGAGCACACAGCCGCCCAGCGGTCGGTCGAGCTGCTGGCCAAGGCAGTCCCCTCCCCCTCTCTCTGCTGTTCTCTTTATTTATTTGAGAGACATGGCAAGAGCTCGTATCCTTTGGTTTACTTCCCGGTTCCCCTGCAATGGCCGGGGCTGAGCCAGCCCCAGAGCTGAGAGTCAGAAACTCAGTCCAGGCCTCCCACGTGGGTGGCAGGGGCCCAATCACTTGAGCCCTTGCCAGCCGACCCCCAGGAGCTGCACTGGCAGACGCTGGAGCCAGGGCCCCGGATGTAGGACGTGGCCGTCCTGACTCACGTCTTGATGCCTGCACCAAACATCTGGCACCTCCTGGATTTTTTTTTTTTTAATGTTCAAGTTCACACGAGCTACACTGCTGGTTCGTGCCTGTGCCCAGGGGGAGAGGGAGGAGATGGGGGCTGGGAGGAGAGGAAGGGGCCATCTTGGGACGAATCAGCCATCTGGAGGCAGAGGCGGGACCCTGGGCATCATCCACACATCGCTCAGACGCTGAGAATGGGTGGCAGGTCTGCCCAGGGAGGCCCCCAGCCCAGGCTCATGGCCCTGCCACTGTGTATCTCTTGCAGGCTCTCGGAGTCAGCATGCAACGTGGCTGGGCTGCCCTCTTGCTCCTGCTGGTGCTCCAGGGCGGTGAGTAATGGCCCCTCCCCCACCCCCACCTCCCACGAAGCTGGCCTGCTGGGCTCCGGGAGGTGACCAGAGGCCACCAACATTCATTTCCTGGAAGCTGAGATGGGGGAGGGGGGAGAGCTCTGGGACCCAGAAGTGTGCACTTGAACCCGGGGGCCTCAGGTCTCCCAGTCTCAGTAGGGATGGTGGGTGTGGAGGCAGCTGCTGCTCCCAGCCTTGGCTGAGGGAGGAAGTCCTGCCTTTGGTCTAGCCTCAGTTCCTCCTCATGTAGCAGCCACTGGAGCCTGCACGGTGCTTGCGTCCCCTCCCTCCACGGGGCTGGTGGCGGGGCTGGGGGCTGGGGCTGGGGCAGTGAGACCAAAGGAGTCGAAGGCTGGGGGACCACAAGAAGCTGGCAGGACAACAGCCCAGCAAGGGGGTGCTGCCCGGGGATGGTGATCCAGGAGGTCTTCCTGGAGGAGGGGCCTGTGAAGAAGTCAGAGGCTGGCCCAGGGCGAGGAGGAACCTGGCGCGTCTCTGCTGACTCATTGGCATTTTTCTCTGGGTTTTACCCAAAGACCCAGTGCCTCAAATAACTCCCTCGGGAAACAGCTGGCAGGCTCTGTTTCTCTTTCTGACTGGCCGGTCTCTCTGTCCCAGCTCTAAAGTGCCCCATGGGGGCAGCCACCACAGCACCCCCCCACCCCGCCATCACCACGTGGCAACAAACAGCCAGCACCTGCTGTATACCAGGCCCTGAGCAGCTTGCGCCCATCCCCCACTCCCGCCCTCCAGGGGAGGCTCAGCAGAGGCCGGCAGAGGACAGGGGACAGGTCCACAGCCACACAGCCGGGCGGTGGCAGAGCCGTGGGGGCTCCTGACCCTCGGCCCCTCGGTCCTGCTGGAGATGGGGTCGTTTCTAAAGGATGGAAGTGCATTTCTCACTGTCCTGGAGCCAGCAGCTTCCACGTCTGGCGGGCGCTGGGCCTCTGCTTCCGGGGGGGCGGGTGCCTTGGGCGTTGGGTCCCTTCTGTGGCAGGAGGGACTGAGGGCAAAGGGGAGTGGACGCCGGGTGCCTCCAGCCCTTGGTGAGGTCACCCAGCCGTGCGTGCACGTTGCCAGCTGCCAACCTCAGTGGCACCACATTGATGATTAAATCTCAACATGGGAATGATTTATTTATTTCCAGCTTATTTGAAAGGCAGAGAGAGAGAGAGAGAGAGAGAGACGGAGAGGGAGGGAGGGAGATCCCATCCATTGGTTCACTTCCTGGATGCCTGCAGTAGCCAGGGCTGGGGCCAGGCTGAAGCTAGGAGTCAGGAACTCCATCCGGGTCTCCCCTGTGAGTGGCAGGGGCCCAAGTCCTTGAGCCATCTCTGCTGCCTCCCACGGTGCGCACCAGCAGGAAGCTGGAGCAGTAGCAGAGCCAGGACTCCAACCCATGCCCTCTGAGATGAGCTGCAGGCTTCCCAAGCCCCACCCCTCAACCTGGGAAGCATGGGGGACGCTCAGGGAGGCTGTGGCGTGGCCCTCTTCACCAGGCTTTGCTGCAGTTTCTTGAGTGGCTGCCCCATGCAGGCCCCTGTGGGTTGCCTGGGTGTGATCCGTCTAATACTGCCACAGCTCCTGGGGCACCTGTGTCACCTGCCTGGGGCTGGGGACAAGGAGCAGTTCTGAGTCGCAGGTGCACAGCCACTGTGTGTGCTTCCTGCTGTGCCCTGCACGCTGTCCCGACCCCGGGCGTCTCTGCTCGGTGGACACAAACTGTTTTATTCTTGAGAGAGAGAGAGATCCCACATCTACTGATGCACTCCCCAAATTCCTGTGAACAGCTGGACTGGGCCAGGCTGAAGCCAGGAGCCCGGAACTCAGTCCAGGTCTCCCACATGGGTGCAGAGACCCAAACCCTTGGGCGCTCACCCCTGCCTCCGAGGGTGCCCATCAGCAGGGAGCTGGAGCCAGGAGCCAGGTACTGAGCCCACGTCCTCTGCGGACACGGGTGCCCTCACTGTGGTCTCAGCCTCAGGCCTTCACTCTCTGCGGGGTCTGAGTCGCTTCCCTGTTGCTCCTTCCTCAACACTCTGGCCCAAGTTTGGTTCAAACCCTGTCCCTTGATGGCCCGCAGCCCAGCGAGGGGTGAGCCAGCCACTGGGAGCCTCCTGCACTCTTGGGTTTATTTATTTATTTGAGTTACAGAGAGGGAGAGACAGAGAGAGCTCTTCCATCGGCTGGTTCACTCCCCGAGATGGTCGCAACAGCTGGGGCTGGGCCAGGCTGAAGCCGGGATCCAGGGCCTCCAATTCAGGTCTCTGATGTGGGTGCAGGGGCCCAAGCACTTGGGCCATCCTTTGCTGCCTTCCTGGGGGCATCAGCGGGCAGCTGGACTGGAAGCGGAGCAGCCAGGATGGGATGTGGGGATCACAGGCGGCAGCTTAACCACCCCTGTGCAGAAGCCCCGGCCCCCAGCCCTGGGTTGAGTGTCTGCCCGAATGAGTGCTCTTTTCTCCACAAAGTGCCTGAACGGGCCGGTGGGCAACCCTGTAAGCCTCCCTGGAGGAGGAGGAACATCCCCCCAACCCTGGAGTGAGATGCATGTCCACACGTCAGAGCCTGTGGTGGTGGCTGCCTGGAGGCTTGTGTTGAGAGGGATTCTGAAGCCACGTTGAGGGGCAGAGAGTGCTGTGATCGATTACTGATGTCTGCCATGGGTGTGGGTGTGAGGAGTTCACACAGACTTCCCTGGGCAGCGGCCTCAGCGGCGTGGCCTCATCTCAGAGCCTCAGTATTCTGGTCTGTGCACTGGGTGTCGGAGCAGGCAAAGGTCGTTCCCAGCCACAGAGTTCTTGGCTCTGGATCGAGGTTCTGCCCCCAGAGTGACCCCCCAGGAAGGGAAGATGCCCCCACCTCCTGGATCTTCACCAGCCCAGGAAAAAGCCACTGAAAGTGGGTCTGCTTGGAAAAGGGAACAAGCTTCTAGTACGGGGCGGGGGGGTGGGGGCAGGGAATGCTTCAGGCGCTTGCATTTGCCCAGCAGAACTAAAAACAATTGCATGCTTTTTGGCCAACGTTGCCAGGCGCCAAGCCTGCAAGGGTGCCTGTCTTTTAGAACAGAGACGAAGAGCGAGGGGGCGGGGTCACCAGACTGCCAGGGAGCCCACCCATCCATCGATGGCCTCTTGGTGGTGGTGCGGTTGTGAGCAGTCGGGGCTTCTAGAATGTTCTCCCCCTTTGCAGCACCGCCCGTGTGGCCAGCTGCAGGGCAGCGTAGGTGCCTATGCCTTCTCAGGGCCTTCCTGCGACTTCATGGGGGCTGAGCGCTGTCGTGCAGTGTGGGCGGCTTCGGGGGCCATCCTGTGGGGAGCTGGACGGGACACTGCCCCAAGGGACAGTGGGCTGGGGCTCAGGGCAGCTCAGTGCACTACGCTTCCTAACAGGAGGGCCTCGTCCCCATAGCCGGCCTTGACCTTGAGGTTCCTGCAGGGAATTCCTTGGTGGTGAGGACCCCCGTGCTGCAGGCCGACGTCTCACTGGCCCCTGGGTCTCCATCTTCATCCCTTTAAGGCAGTGGCAGTGGGGGAGGGGTGCTCCCAGCCCCTGGGCAGCCCCTGAGCCAGGCTCTCTCTACCCCGACCCTCCAGGCTGGGGCTGCCAAGACCTCACCTGCTACACTGATTACCTACAGACGGTCACCTGTGTCCTGGAGACCTGGACCCTGCACCCCTGGCTGCTCACCCTTACCTGGTAAGTGGCTAGGCCTTGCCAGCCCCACGGGTGCTACTCAGGGTTCCCACGGGGCCTCAGGAAACCGTGTATCCCATACATTCTAGGGCAGCTCAGGCTATAAAAAAATAGATGCCTTTTATTCTGTTACCTATTCATTCATTCATTTATTCATTCATTTGTTCAAGACACACTGATGACTTTGCTGCCAGACACTGCCACAGGCACCAGGGATCCAGCAGGGCCCAGGGCTCCCCTAGACCCCACACAGCCGGGTGGTATCTGGGAGAGAACAGCTGCAAACCCCGGATCAGCAAACGGGACACCTGCTGGTGCGGGCAGGTGCGGGCAGGATAGGGCCTTGCATGGCCGGGTGCAGAGCGAGTGGCACGGGGCAGGCTCTGCTGCGGCCAGGGTGGGCAGAGCAGGTCCCTCTGCATGAGAGGGGGCAGCCCATGAGCTGGGGGAGGGGCCGTGCAGGTGCAGACACCCTGGCCGGGGAAGGCCCCATGCATGTGCAGAACAGCGAGGAGATCAGTGTGAAGGGGGCAGCAGGAGCCCGGGAGAGGGGGAGCTGAGCAAACCAATTTGTTTCTTTGAAAGGCAGAGAGAGAGAGAGAGAGAGAGAGAGAGAGAGAGAGAGAGAGGTCTTCCATCCACTGGTTCATCCCCCAAATGGCAGCAACAGCTGGGGTCGGGTCAGGCTGAAGCCAGGAGCCAGGAACTCCATGTGGGTCTCTCATGCTGGTGCAGGGCCCCGAGCACTTGGGCCATCTTCTACCGCTTTCCCAGGTGCATTAGCTGGGAGCTGCTGGAGGAGTGGAGCAGCCGGGACTTGAATGGCACCCATAAGGAATGCTGGCATCACGGGCACTGCTTAACACACTGTGGCACCATGCCAGCACCAACAGGGAGTTTTCAAGTCCCCAGACTGCTCTGTGAGAGGAGTGGATTTCAGAGAGGGCAAGCGAGGCAGGGACCCCATCCAGGCAGCCGTCCCCTGGTCCAGGCTGGGGGCTTGGGGAGCATTTATTCATGAGTGCCTGGTCCCCTGGAGGCGAGCGAGCTGAGCCTATCACAGGGCGTCCAGGATGCTACAGGGGCGGGGACTTGCCCCTGAGCCCCGAGCACCCCCCGGCCTGCAGCTGTGACCGGCCGCTGTCTTTGAAGGCAGGACCAGTATGGAGAGCTCCAGGACGAGGTCACTTCCTGCAGCCTGCACAGGTCTGGCCACAACGCCACACACGCCAGCTACACCTGCCACATGGATGTGTTCCGCTTCATGGCCGATGACATCTTCAGCGTCAACGTGACGGACCCAACTGGCAATCACTCGCAGGAGTGCGGCAGCTTCATGCTGGCTGATAGCAGTGAGTACCCATGGACTCCAGGAGGGGCAGAATCTGGGTGCCCCACCGTCCCTGTCCTCTGGGCGCACTCTCTCCCCGCTCCATCAAAACCAGTGTGTTCTATGCCCTCCCCACCACATACTGTTCTGCTTTGTGGAGGTGCTACTTTTTACTAAGGTGTGATGGGTTGATACTTGGTTGGGTCTTAACCCCTAAGGGAAGCAGCAGATGTACTGGGCTGAGGCCAAGGACTTCTGGGCTTCAACTGTGGCTCAGCCCCTGCCTGTGTGAGTGACCTTGAACGAGGCACATCCCATTTGTAGAGGGAAATCTTTCAATCCGGACCCTCTGGGGTTCTGTCCCCAGGAGGCGAGTGCAGGGCACTGAATCACCAGGAAGAATCGTCTGAGTCCCCTCCCTCTCATGAGCTGCTGTGAGGCCTGGGACTTCCCTCCAGGGTGGAGTGGGCACAGAGGGTTGGGGACAGGGGAACCTGGCCAGCAGAGGTAGTTGTGTGTGCAGGCCCAGAACCAGGGAGGGCAAGGAAGGCTGGAGAGGTAGCTTTGGTTTGAAGTCTGTCCGTGCGTGTCCATGTGTGTCTGTGCCTGTCCACGTGTGTCTGTCTGTATGAGGAACTCCAGAGAGTTCACAGAGGGGTGGATACTTGGCACAGCACTTAGGCCCCCTCTTGGGACACCTGCATCCCAATCAGGGTACCTTGCTTCAAGTCCTGGCTCCATTCGCAACTCCGACTTCCTGCTAATGCACACCCTGGGAGGCAGCAGGTGATGGCTCAAGTAGTTGCGTCCCTGCCGCCCATATGGGAGACCGGAATGGAGTTCCCAGCTCTTGGCTTCAGCCTGGCCCAGCCCTGGCTGTTGCAGATATTTGGGGAAGGAACCAACAGAAGGAAGATTCTCTCTCTCTCTCCCTCCCCTCTCTTCCTTTCAAGTCAATAAAAATCTATTTTTAAAAAATTTGTGAAAAAAATGGAATTAAAAGACAAGTTTATTTTGGTGTCAAAAAGGCCTTTGAAATCCATGCATACAAGGAGTCTTTAAAATGTTAATGGAAAATATTTGTTATTTAAAAAAATGCATGGACTTCAAAAATGTTTTGCAGCAAAATAAATTTAACAATTTTTTTTTAATTCGGGAGGGAGTGCACCTGTCTGCTGGCTCACTTCCCCAGGTGCCCCAGTGCTGAAGCCAGGAGCTGGGAGAGCTCCCACTTGGGTGGCAGGAACTCACTGCTTGAGCCATGACCGCTGCCTCCCAAGAACTTGCAAGAAGCTGGAACCAAGGGCCGGAGCTGGGATTCAAACCCAGGCCCTCCACCTTGGACACTGGTGCAGTGTCCTAACTGGCAGCTTCACCACGAAGCCAAACGCCCTCCCCAGAGTTGTCTTCCAATTCCATTTCCCCACCTCTCTGAAGCCTCTTTCTTACGTGTGTGTGTGTGTGTGTCGAGCATCGAGAGAAAAATGGAACTAAAAAATAAAACTAAAGAATCTGAACATTCTTTCTCAACCTGAGCTCCATCAAGGTGGAGTCTCATTCACTGGGAATGGCGATGCCGGCCACTGAGCCCATAGCCCAAGGACAGGGTGCATCTGGACTCTGAGCCCATAGCCCAAGGACAGGGTGCGATGCTGGCCACTGAGCCCATAGCCCAAGGACAGGGTGCGTCTGGACTCTGAGCCCATAGCCCAAGGACAGGGTGCGATGCTGGCCACTGAGCCCATAGCCCAAGGACAGGGTGCGTCTGGACTCTGAGCCCATAGCCCAAGGACAGGGTGCGATGCTGGCCACTGAGCCCATAGCCCAAGGACAGGATGCGTCTGGACTCTGAGCAGGTCAGTGAACTCTTTTTAAGGTTATTCACTGCAGAGAAGTGGGTGCCCCAGGGAAGAATTTTTTAGTAGTAGCAAATGCAAAGAAATCAGGAGGAGACAAAACAGGGATGCCTAATGACTTCCCGTAGAGATCCTTGCAAAATTGTGCACTTGCTGAGAGTGAGAAGTAGCAGTGTTTTCGGGGTGGAGGAGGGCCCTGGTAAAGCTTTCGTGGGCGTTTTTCTGCCAATGTGTTGGCTGACTTCCTCAAAACCCTCTCCTAACAAGCAAATATTGTGGTTCTGTGTCCCTCTGGCAAATGCCTTGAGCTTCCCCCCCGCAAGCTGTGGCCATGACCCTGGCTCTTGCTTCCACTGGATTACGCCTGCCTCTTGGTAGCCGTTGATGTAGTCATGCTTTGTCTTCAGGATTGTACCGGTAAAGCCATGTCTCACATCCTGTTACACCTCCTGGGAGAAATCCTTCAGAAACTTGGTCCCACTTGCTATCTAATTTCTACGGACGGCGCTGCTCTTATCTGCAGCTTCTCTGTGGGGTCACAGCTGGGGCACCTGCTGAGCAGAAATGGCTGCTTTAAGCTTTAGGTGGGAATTGTGTGAGCTGAATCCGTTGAGATGTGCAGGATGTTGGCTGTGCATCTTCCTAGAGTAGGACACAACCCAGCGTGAGATGGATTTGTTCCTCACCCAGTGATGTGGCGCTGCTGCTGGCTATCTGTCTGTCGCCTGCTGCTGCTTTGGGCACTGTCCCCATCAGCTCTCCATAAAGCACCGGAGTCGGCGCCATTCTTCTGTCCTAAATTGACCGAAAGTTGGGTGCTTAGTTTATTCTAATTCTAGCAGAATTCCCGTTGCTTTGACAAGGGCTTTTTTCAAACTTGACATCTTATCTTTCTCTGTATCCCAACCTGGAGCCTGTTCACACGTGACATAAGGAGACAGGATGGGTTTGGTTTGGTGCAAAAAAAAGTTTGAAATCCATGTGTAGTTTTTATGTAATAAACATTTCCATGAACTTGTTGAAGACTCCTCTTCTGTGTGTGTGTCAGTGTGTGTTTGTGTGTCTGTGTGTATCTCTGTGTGTCTGAATGTGTGTATATCTGTATGTGTCTCTGTGTCTGTATGTCTGAATGCATGTGTTGGGGTGTCTGTGTGTGTGTGTATCTGCATGTGTATTTGTGTGT